AAAACAAAAACGAAAAGGAAAGTAGCCAAATAGGAATTACCCTGCATATGAAGAACCTTCCCATGGTTTTGATTGTTCCATCAAAATGCAAAATTAACCCTCCATTTACTAAATCATTTCTTAAGAAACCTTCTAAAACAAAAACGAAAAGGAAAGTAGCCAAATAGGAATTACCCTGCATATGAAGAACCTTTACATGGTTTTGATTGTTCCATCAAAATGCAAAATTAACCCTCCATTTACTCGCCATTTACTCATATCATGGAGTGATTAAGACAGAATTTCTCCCTACATTATAATTACAATATCAAGCAGACGTCGACATGTAATGAGAATAAAGAAGAGTGTCAATTAGGGGATTATGTGTTGATCCCAAACTAAAATAGTTCTCCAAACTAACATGATAGGAATTGTCTGTTAATAGCGAGGAGTATTACTTATGATTGAAGTTGATTGATATATGAGCATCTTTTTTCCAATCTTTTATTCTCTTAATCAACAGTTTCATAAGGAATGCAGAGTTAATGCTTTCCTTTCAAAAAATTATTTTTATTATATCAGATTCCCATTTGGCTTTTGTTAGAAGAGTCTTTCCTTGTTATTTTTTGTCTTCTTATTTTCCTTCTTCATATTCTTTGTCATCCTCTTTTAACAATGCCAGTAACATGTTGAGGTGTTTTGGTCAAAAAATGATTTCTTTTAACCTTGTGGCCCATGAGAGTCTCAGACCAGCATCTAATTTCTCCTTACGATATCACCCCTGAATCACCCAGTAAGGTCAGGAAAATAAAGAAATTGGTCATCAACGGAAGAAGCTCTTGATTGTGAAATAAATTCTGCTTGTCAGCGCCTTAGGAAATGTATAAAGAACAGTATGGAGAATATGCTGTTAGCATGTAAAGGGTTAAGATGAGTGATTTGATTTGGTTTTTTTAGAGATGCAATTGGCTTTTCCTAAACCATGAGAGGGAAAAAAGAAGTCATGCGGCAAAATCAAACCCTGGACCTCCAAGTGTTTTATTACCGAGCAACAGAGAGTTCCATTGTGGTCTAGGGCAGTAGTAGGTTCATTTGCGATGGGCATCCTGCTCACTGCTAGAATTAGGAATGTTGAAAGCCCCACATAAATGAATGAAGTAGTAAGGGTAGTAAAGAATCTTTTAACCCTCTCCACCGTAAGATCAGTATGCGTATTCTCTATACTGTTCTCTATACATTTCTCTAGGTGCTGACAAGGAGAATTTGTTTAATAATCAAAAGCTTCTTGAATTAATGATCATTTCCGTTATTCTTGTGGGCTTAATGTGTGATTTGGGGCGTATATTGTAAGTAGAAATTAGATGCTGTTCATTCGTAGGGGTCAAAGAATTAAGTCGACGTGATAGTTTCCTTACAAAGCCAATTGTTTCCACGAATTTTGCATTCAACAACGAACGTTTGTTGTTTTTGGTTTTATTTTTTCATTGTGTTTAGATTGGAAAGTCAGCAGAGGCCACTTCAGATGCACTCTGTGAGATGCATCGGCAGTGGGACAATGAAATGATGAAACTGGACAATGGAGAAGTGGAACCTGCTGCTGGAACAGCCAGCTGTCAATCAATCAAGAACAGCAGTGAAGATTTAGAATTGTATTATATTGCGGTACGGTCTCATTTCAGTAACTCTCAGAAGTGATTCACATGGAACTTCTCCCCTTAATATCCATATGTTGTTCAGCAAACAGGTCAGGAGAATACCGAAAGTCATCAGGTAGAAGTTATTAGGTTGAATTAACACCAAATTTTCGTCCCTAATTTACAAGGAAATCTGTAGCAGCTGGAGGGGAGAACGAACAAACAGATCTTGCGAGTCCAAAGGTTAACCTGTCCTTAGTTGTGTTGGCGTTGTTGATTCTCCTCAGTCAGGTTCAATTATATTGCTCCAAAGTGTTCTGATTTCACATGTATATCGCTTGAGAGCTCAAGGAGTGAAATACAAATTATTGTCCTCGTTTTTAAGTCAGTGGGAGGGGAAGAGTGACAAAATTTAAAGGAAGTTTTGTGATGTTTTTTTTTTCTCTTCCAGAAAATGCGAGAGCTCATTCTTACTAGTAGTTTAAAAGTCCGAGTGGAAGCTGAAAACGATATGCTGACCAAGACACTGGGTTAGTAGTAATTCGTACTTCGGGTTCCCTTTTTATTCCTTCATCTCCCTTCCCCCCTTTCTTTCCACTGACTTACAAACACTTGCTATCTCCTTTTACGCTTCGCAGGTGAAGTCACAGCTGACATTGTTGGAGCCAGGTATTAAAAATGAATTTCCATACTTATTTGCGACTGAATTTGCAGCTGAAGGAGTCAATTTAAAGGAATCTGCGAAGCTTTTTTGGCTCTCCGTCTTATACGACAACAACAAAGATCGAAGCCGTGTGAATCAACGTGACCCTTGAGTGACCTAGTTCTGGCTCGGCCAATCCCAGCGGTCATTGTGACCCCAGTATTAGCAACGTCGCATAATCGTAAAAGATTATGCGACGTTGATGATGACAGCTTTTGCTCCATAATTTTTCCTTTTCTCATCTCGTATTGTACATGTATGAAGTGTTGATATTGTAAAAATAATTTCAATTTACATCAACTTTTTTTCAAGGCTGAAGAGACCAGCGCTAGATATGTCCTCCAAAGAAGCTTCAGCGATCCTAGACTCTGTACACAAGAAGACCAAAGTGTTTGGATGTAATCTAGAAAATTATGTGAAAGTAAGTATACATACGGTATATATACGGTATATCAGATCGTATCATGCAGTTCTTATCGTCTCGTTGCACAAAAATATCCGCACTTGCAATTGTTTAAGTCGTGATGGTGGTTTTTCTTGTTACTAGAATCTTTTAGTGGACCTTCTGCTTTCTATTGTGCCTTAAATTCTTTTGAAAATTTGAGTGACATTTCCCCTAGTTAGGTATCGGAGATTAACCCAGAAATCCCTGAGGGCCGATTTTTTTTAACAAAGTGTAGCCGTTGTTGAACAAAACCGCGTTTTAAGCCTTTTTCGAATTAGACGAACCTTTTATTTAAATATTTAACAAATGGTAGACACCACAGCGTACACTAGTGAGTTATGGATGCACGCGGGAGGTTGCTAAGCACGAAAGAAGCTTAAGAGTCGCACCAGGCGATAGCCGAGAGCGACTCTAGCTTCTTGAGTGCTTAGTACATCCCCCGTGTGCATCCATAACTCAATAGTGTACGCTGCGGTGTTTACCATTTGTTTTATAACATAACATTGATACATTGTGGCAAAAGAGTTTTCTTTAATTAACAAATCTTGCATGACTAGAAAAACAAGCGCGCGCGTAAAGCGCCGTCTACACGAGCAACTTTTATTTGGCAATTTTTAAGTGGCAATTTTTATTTGCCCGTGTAGATAATGAAAAATGACCAATTTTTATGTGACAACTACATTTGCTGAAAAGCTGGCGTGTTAGTTTTTAAGTGGCAAATAAAAATTGCCACATAAAAAAAAA